ACTCATGGAGGGCGGGCCGTTTTCAAAATGTGACTTTCGCCTCCGCGCCGCGAGCATTCGTCGTTAAATATTTCCGAGCGCTTCACGGATGGAAGGCAGGTGTTTCTCAAACGTGCGGCCCTCGCCTTAGTGCCGCGCGCATTCTTCGTAAATATTCGCAAGAGCTTCACAGATGGAGGGGTGTCCTGTTCAAACTGTGGCACTCGCCTTAGCGCCGCGCACATTCGTTCCTTTTCAAAAGTGCAAGACCTTCACGGATGGAGGGCGGTTCCTTTTCAAAACGTGGTCCTCGCCTTTGCGCCGCGCACATTTGTTTCGTTTACAGCAGCTTCAAAGATTCGCGTGAATGGCGTCCTAGAGGCGGTGTTTGGCACGGTGTAAGAGTGTCAAGGCGCAGCGGATGTATGGATTCGCGGTGTTGAAGTCCCAAGAATGTTCGGGCACGGCTCAGGGTCGTCAAGACGCAACAGTGGCGGCGATTCGCGGACTTGAAGACCTAAGAATGCTGTTCCGGCACAGTTCAGGACTTTCAAGCGGTTGTCTTCCAACGGGGCACTTCCAACGGCATGGGGCCTGTGGCAGAGGGAACTCGGAGGGAGGGTTTCTTGCAATATCGTGGACGAGTCTTGGGCTTACACTGGTCCTCCTTCTTCCTCCCTCCTCCCCTCCTCCTCCTCCTCCTCCTCCTCCTCCGTCCGGTCCTCTCTCCTCCTCGTCCTCCTCCTCCTCCTCCCCTCCTCCTCCTCCTCCCCTCCTACTCCTTCCTCCTCCCCTCCTCCTCCTCTTTCTCTCCTCCTCCCTCCCTGCTCTTCCTCCTCTCTCACGGCCGCGACGCAGGGGCTGGTCCTCCTCGTTCCTCCTCCTCGGCCGAGCGGGGGGCCGTCGTCCTCCTCCCTCGCTCCTCGCTCGTCCTCCCACCCTCCCCCTCCACCCATACCCCTCTATTGCATCCTACTCCTCACGTCCTCGCTCATCCTCCTCCTCCTCCTCCTCTCTCCTCCTCCTCCCCTCCCCCTCCTCCTCCTCCTCCTCCTCCTCCTCCTCCTCCTCCTCCTCCTCCTCCTCCTCCTCCTCCTCCTCCTCCTCCTCCTCCTCCCCGGCCGCGGGCGGGGGGCACCGGCGGACTCCCCGCAGCCCAGCTGCCAAGCGCACTGCGCGCGGTGGAACACCGACCTGCTCGTGGGGTCCTCCGCGCGCGGCCGGGCGCGGGGCCCATGCCCCCTTTCTCGTATGCGTCTTTCTCTCTCCTCTCTTCCTCCTCCTCCTCCTCCTCCTCCTCCTCCTCCTCGTCCTCCTCCTCCTCGTCCTCCTCCTCCTGCTCCTCCTCATCCTCCTCCTCTTCCTCCCGCGGCCTCGGCCTCGGCCCTAGGCCCTGGGCGAGGGGCTCCACCGGGGCGACTGCCAGGGCGGCTCCTCCCAGACAGCGGGCGCCTCGAAAACATCGAAACATTTTTTAAAATAATATTTTTTATTAGTTTTTGGCCTCTCGGGGCCCTCGCCGGGCCTCGGGACCGTCAAAAAACGACCCGGGATGAAAAGCCAGTCCCAGGGAAGTGGTGGGGCGGTCGGGAGCCCGCGTCTCGAAAAAATCGAGGCGTCGGATGTCTGGGATCCGGGACAAACAAAAAAAAGAGAGAGAAAGGGTGATGTACGGCAAGGGCGCTTGGGGGGTCGCCATTCCGAACTACGGAGAAGCACTTGACTCCTGCGCAATGCACTCTGGAACTGGGGCCCTCCAGGGACTGTCTGCCCGCAGCAACCCCCTTTCTTCCCCCTCCCCCTCTCCCTGGACCTGGACGGGGGTGGTCGCGGGCAGTTGGGGCGTCCAGGACGGCTCCAAGACCGCCTCGGAAAACCCAAGATAACATCCAAGATGGCTCAAGGTACCGCAAGTTGCCTCAAGGTGGGTTTCAAGATGCTCCCAGAAGCCCCAAGAACGCTCCATGTCGGCTCCCAGAGGGCTCCGAGACCTCCAATGAGTTCCCCAAGAGGCCAACATCCTTCAAACACCTAAAAGAACACCAGTGTTTTTCGCTTTCTCGCCTTTTCGCTTCCGATGGCCATCCGAGACCTCATGATGGCTCAAAGATGGCCCAAGGGGGCCCCATGAGAGGCCCAAGAACGCCCCAAGACGGCGCCAAAAACGCCCGAGAGCGCCCAAATAACGCAACGAGATGGGTCCAGGAGGCGACTTTCGGGGAGGCTCCTCTTTTTGATCGATGTCGTCCAAGATGACCCCAAGAGCGCCCCTCAATTTCTCATGATCGCCCCCAGAGGGCCCCAAGAGGCGACAAGGCGGCCCGAAGAGGCCTCCAAGCGGCTCCCAAGAGACCTATACGAGGCCTCAGGAGGATCCCCGAGGTACCCAACGCTCCCCCCTTCTCCTCCTTTTCATCCTTCTCGTCCTCGCTCTCCTCCTCCTCCTCCGACGACGATTCCTCCTCCATCCTCCTCCTCCTCCTCCTCTTGGTGTGTCTGACGGCTTCCCCCGCCGTTTGTTCTTCTGCATGCTCCCCCACTTCCCTGATCACCTCAACTCTCCTGGACATATTTTCTGGACGGGCTGGTGGGGATACGTTTTGATCACGAGCGCTAACGGTACGACCGCAGGCCGAACAGAACCGAGGCAGCCGCGCCAAGCTCTTAATTAAGCACTGAGCGCGCAGGAGCGAACTACGCTGCGGCTCAGGGGGCGAGAAAGACTCTGAAGGACAGGTCGAAAACGCCGAAGCCGTCGACGACCAGGAGGAACTGGTCCACGCGCAGCGCCAAAATGGCGAAGTATTTTATGCCCATGTCCTCGAAGGCCAAAGACTGATGGTGGGGATACGCGCAACGTCAAACATTCGGGGCATCACACAGCCCGAGACGTAGCCAACCCGTTCTCCACTCGAAGCATCGTTGCATGAACGCTCCATACAAAAGAACGCATCGCCAGATATGCACAATCTGCGCTGCCCTCAACTCCGCCGTACCTCCCAGGAGCCCACGGGAGTGCGACAATTGCGCACCTCGCAGCCTCCCAGGGAGCAGCGATATTTAGTCTGGGTGCGCGTGTCCCCCGACTCCGCTGGACCTCCCGGGAGCTCACGACCATGGCGACAATTGCGCACTTCGCAGCCACCAATGGAGCAGCGAGGTCTCGTCTGGGTGCGCGTGTCCCCCGGCTCCGCTGGACCTCCCAGGAGCCCACGAACGTGGCGACAATTGCGCAGTTCGCAGTCACTCAGGCAACAGCGAGGTCTCGTCTGGGTGCGCGTGGCCCCTGACCCCCGCTGGAACTCCCAGGATCCCACGAACGTGGCGGCAATTGCGCAGGTCGCAGCCACCCAGGGCGCAGCGAGGTCTCGTCTGGGTGCGCGTGGCCCCCGACTCCGCTGGACCTCCCAGGAGCCCGCGAAGGTGGCGAAAGCTGCGCAGTTCGCAGTCACCCAGGGAGCAGCGAGGACTCGTCTGGATGCGCGTGGCCTCCGACTCCGCTGGACCTCCCAGCAGCCCACGAACGTGGCGACAATTGCGCAGCTCGCAGCCACCCAGGGCGCAGCGAGGTCTCGTCTGGGTGCGCGTGGCCCCCGACTCCGCTGGACCTGCCAGACGCCCACCGAAGTGGCGAAGTCTCGTCTGGGTGCGCGTGGCCCCCGACCCGGAAGAGCCCACGAAAGTCGCGTCGGTTGCGCAGTTCGCAGACTACCCAGGGAGCAGCGAGGTCTCGTCTGGGTGCGCGTGGCCTCCGACTCCGCTGGACCTCCCAGGAGCCCACGGAAGTGGTGACAATTCGCTCTTCGTAGCCTCCCAGGGAGCAGCGAGGTCTCGTCTGGGTGCGCGTGGCCCCCGACTCCGCTGGACCTCCCAGGAGCCCACGAACGTGTGCGACAGTGACGCAGTTCAGAACCACAGAAGGAGCAGCGAGGTCTCGTGTGGGTGCGCGTGGTCCCTGACCCCGCTGGACCTCCCAGGAGCCCGCGAAGGTGGCGAAAGCTGCGCACTTCGCAGTCACCCAGGGAGCAGCGAGGACTCGTCTGGATGCGCGTGGCCTCCGACTCCGCTGGACCTCCCAGGAGCCCACGAACGTGGCGACAGCTGCGCCCTTCGCAGACTACCCAGGGAGGTCTCGTCCGGGTGCGCGTGGCCCCCAACTCCGCTGGACCTCCCAGCAGCACACGAACGTGTGCGACGGTTGCACAGTTCAGAATCTCTGAAGCAGCAGGGAGGTCTCGTCTGGGTGCGCGTGGCCCCCGACACCGCTGGACTTCCCAGGAGTCCACGGAAGTGGTGACAGTTGCGCACTTCGCAGCCTCTCAGGGAGCATCGAAGTCTCGTCTAGGTGCGCGTTGCCCCCGACTCCGCTGGACCTCCCAAGAGCTCACAGCCTCCCAGGGAGCATCGAGGTCTCGCCTGGGGTGCGCGTGGCCCCCGACTCCGCTGGACCTCCCAGGAGCCCACGGAAGTGGTGACTATTGCGCTCTTCGTAGCCTCCCAGGGAGCAGCGAAGTCTCCTCTGTGTGTGCGTGGTCCCCGACTCCGCTGGACCCCCCAAGAGCCCACGAACGTGGCGACAGTTGCGCCCTTCGCAGACTACCCAGGGAGCAGCGATGTCTCGTCTGGGTGCGCGTGGCCCCCGACTCCGCTGGACCTCCCAGGAGCCCACGAAGGTGGCGACAGCTGCGCAGATCGCAGTCACCCAGGCAACAGCGAGGTTTCGTCTGGGTGCGCGTGGCCGCCGACTCCGCTGGACCTCCAACGAACGTGGCGACAATTGCGCAGTTCGCAGACTACCCTGGGAGCAGCGATGTCTCGTCTGGGTGCGCGTGTCCCCCGGCTCCGCTGGACCTCCCAGGAGCCCACGAAGGTGTGCGACGGTTGCACAGTCAGAACCAATGAAGCAGCAGCGAGGTCTCGACTGGGTCCGCGTGGTCCCCGACGCCGCTGGACCTCCCAGGAGCCCGCGAACGTGGCGACAGTCGCGCAGTTCGCAGCCTCCCAAGGCGCAGCGAGGTCTCGTCTGGGTGCGCGTTGCCCCCGGCTCCTCTGGACCTCCCAGAAAGCCTACGAGAGTGGTAGCACTTGAGCAGTCCGCAGCCACCAAAGGAGCAACGAGGTCTCGTCTGGGTCAGCCTGGTCCCCGACCCCGCCAAGAGCCCACGAACGTGGCGACAGTTGCGCAGTTCGCCACAGCCACCAAAGGAGCAGCGAGGTCTCGTCTGGGTGCGCGTGGCCCCCGACTCCGCTGGACCTCCCAGGAGCCGCATCCACGCAAGGAGCAACGATGGACCTCCCAGAAATCCACGAGAGTGACGACAACTGCGCACTTCGCAGCCACCCAGGGAGCAGCGAGGCTTCGTCTGGGTGCGCGTGGTCCTCAACTCCGCCGAACCTGCCACGAGCCCAATAAAGTTGCGACAATTGCGAGTTTGCCACAGCCATGCAGGGAGCAGCGAGGTCTCGTCTGGGTGCGCGTGGCCCCCAACTCCGCTGGCCCACGAGCGTGGCTACGCACGAAGGTGTGCGACGGTTGCGCAGTTCGCAGCCTCCCAAGGATCAGCGAGGCTTCGTCTGTGTGCGCGTGGCCCACGACTCTGCTGGACCTCCCAGGAGTTCACGAACGTCGCGACAGTCACGCACTTCGCAGCCTCCCAGGGAACAGCGAGGTCTCGTCTGGGTGCGCGTGGTCCCCGACTCCGCTGGACCTCCCAGGAGCTCACGAAAATGGTGACGGTTGCGCAGTTCGCCACAGCCACACGGGGATCAGCGAGGTCTCGTCTGGGTGCGCGTGGCCCACGACTCCGCTGGACCTCCCAGGAGCCCACGAACGTGCGCGACAGTCGCGTAGTTCGAAGCATATCCAGGGAACAGCTCGTCTGGGTGCGCGTGGTCCCCGACCCTGCTGGACCTCCCCACGAACGTGGCGACAGTCGCACAGTTCGCAGCCACCCAGGGAGCAGCGAGGTCTCGTCTGGGTGCGCGTGGCCCCCGACCCCGCTAGACCTTCCAGGAGACCACGAAAGTGGCGACAGTTGCGCAGTTCGTCGCAGCCACCCAGGGAGCGGCGCAGAAGGAGGCAGGAGGAGGGGGGGGCGGGAGGAGAGCGGGGAGGTGCCAGGTGGAGGCCACAATGCTCAACACTGGCTGGGTTGGGAACAGTTCCGGGAAGGAGGCGGCGGGCAAACCCCTGGCCCCATCTCCGGGGGATCATTGAATTCTGAGTATGCATACAGAATCACTATGGAGGAGGGGGGAAAAGGAAGGAGGAGGGGGAGCGGGAGGAGGAGGAGGGAGGGGGCCGGGGAGGAGGAACGGTACCCGAGCGACCCCCTGTGACCGCATCGGGGAACGGCTGTCCGTGCAGCATCGCTCCTCGGAGACGGAAGGGATGGTGCCTCGCGATCGGCGTCCGCGGAGGCTCGCCGGGCGTGAGACTGGGGCGCGACGGGGCCGCCTCGTCGAAGGCGCAGAGTCAGGAGACAGACCACTTCCTCTGCCGTCGCTCGGACGTCCCTTTCCCGTGCATTTTGTCGGTGTCGTGCGTGTTTTTTTTTGCCTCGGTGGTCCGGGATGGTCCTCGATGGTTCTCGCCGAGAAGAAGTGCACACGGCCGAGCGATGCCAAGCTGGACACCTCGCACACGGCTGGCCGTTGCTCTCGGGTGCCGTGGCAGTGGCGAGCGGGCCTCGGCTCCTGGATCGCCTGGCTTCGCGCGTCGTGCTCCCGGAGGAGGGCGCCTCTCCGGCCCGGGCCGCGATATGCGCGAAGCCAGGTGGTCTTCGCGCCTCTCGGGGTGACCTGGACGTCGTGCTCCAACAGAGCCATCGGGGATTTCTGACTGGATCGATGTGTTGTCCAGCTGGGTGACGGACAACGTTGCCTGGGCGAGTCTGGGCTGTGAGAGCGCCGACTGTGCACCCACACCGATCCGTTGCAAGGCAGATTCACGGCCAAGGATGGGCCCGGCCAGGGTCGGCGTAGGGTGTATCATTTGGTGCTCCCCGACGCAAGGCCAGCGTGAAAGTCAGATCCGACCACTGACTGGGCGGATCCTTGGTGGTGCTGGCGGTAGCGCCTCGCGTGGGACCTCGCCACGGCGCGACACGCCCGTGATGCGGCCTCCGCGCTCTACGATTTTAGCCGCTCGCAGCCCTCGTCGCCAACTCACCTCTGGCCGAATACGATTACGCCCAAATCGTGTCGTGACGATCCGGGCGTTGGTTTCCGACACCGCGTGGGGGTCGTTCGACTTTGGACGATCGTGGCTCCCCGATGTCGCAGACCATTCCACATTGGCCCATTCCAGGCCACTGGTGGCGCTCACCCTGGACCGCTCGCGCTGGGGTCGTAGGCACGGCACGAGCCGGCCGTATGCGCCATTCTCGTAGCCGTCCGATGGGCCTCTCCATGATCGAATCCCCAGCCAAGGCGAGCACGGGAGAGGGTGCAGAAGCGTGTTGCAGGGCGTCAGGCCTCAAGGTCGCAACAGCCCAACGGGAAGAGCTGGCAGGTCCGTCCTCTTGCCCCAGGTCGCGCTGCGCCACTGTACGGCACCAGATCCAAACCCTTGGCCTCGAAACATAACGGTCGGAAAAAGTAGGTAGAAACATCAAACAATTAGGAAGGCGTTGACAGTAGATTTGATTCCGGCCGCCCCCTGAGGAGGACAGAAAAGGTGAAGCCACTCGATCATTAAACAGGGGAGGAGAAGCACTGGGACAAAATGGGTGGAGTCATGGCCATGTACTCTTCTGACTGATGCAGCACCGTGCGCACAGGCCGACACGTCTATTTCGTCCCAAACGCTCTGAAGCACCACGCGTGGTCAAAGCAACCGGTGGGGCTAGCACGCGAATTAACTGCGCAAGCACAGCGACATCGAGGGCAGAGTATATTCGTGACATGGTCAGGAGCACCGAGTGGCGCAAAAGACGATGACCACGAGAACACAAATGCAAACGAACTAAGAGAGGCAGACATCAGTATACCTGGGCAGCCGTACTGCACCTCAGGTTGTCACACCTTCTTCAGGACCGACGCGCGCAGCGCCACGGCGAGCAACGCTATCGTCCTGCCCACACCCACAGCATCCAGCAAGCGGGGACAAAGGCCTGCTGTCCATAGGTTGCTGCAAGAACGCGCAGGCAGGCAAACCAAGTGAGGTTTCTTCATTGTATATGCAGAGTCGCACACGCCCGCGGGCTAAACGCGAGGCGGGCCGGACCCCATTTCAGCCGCGCGCCCAGGGGCAGTGTAAAACCGTTCGGCCTGCGACCCTGATGCGTGCTTATACCTATTGTTTAGATGCAAGCGTACATTGGTGGCATACATACATATGTATACACACATCTATGTACACATGTTTATATACACATATAGATCTTTACATGCATACGTGTGTGTATGCATACGTCAACGTGTGTTTGCTACCGCAGAATAAGAACACTGTACTAGTGTATCCACTATGTGCACTCCATGTATAACTAAACACATACAGTTTAAGTTTGTATGCGTCTCTATGTATGTACGTTTGTATGCATGCATGCATGTATGTATGTGTGTTTGTTTGTTTGTATTGTGTTGCTTTATTGTTTGTGTGTATCTATGCATATATGTATGTATGAACATGTGTATACATCTGTATATATTCCTGTATCCGCACCGTGCCCTTGCGGAACGAATCCCACCAGCCCTTTAGGGCGTCGGTGGTTTAACGAGTTTCCTCTTCCACCCCTCCTTCTTCCCCTTCGGGGAGGGGTCTACCCCTCCCCCTAACCCCCTCCCCACTGACCTGGACAGGGGGGGCCGCGATCGATCAGAGCGTCCAAGATCGACCCCTGGGAGGGCTAAAATTCGACACCCCTCACGAGGATCGTGGCTCCTGAGGGGGGGGCTGAAATTTAGGAACCCCCCTTCGTTGATCGATCTCCTCCAAGATGGCTCCGAAAGACGTCTGGACCCCCTCTTGGGCCCTGCGCGCGGGCGGGCGGAGCGCCGCCCGCCCGCCCGCAAGGCCCAAGAGCCCACCAAAACGTTCGAATCTACTTCCAAGACGCCACCAGGGAAGAGGAAGATGAGGAGGAAGAGGAGGAGGAGGAGGAGGAGGAGGAGGAGGAGCAGGAGGTGAGGGAGGAGGAGGAGGAGAGGAGGAGGAGAAGGCGGAGGAGGAGGAAGAGGGGGAGGAGAACAGCTGCTGATCATCGGCGCTCTTCGTTCGAGCGCCTGGTGTAGGATGGGCTGGTGGGGATACGCGAAGCGTCAAGAATTTGACTGTCCTTAAGAGCTTGGCTTAGTCCCGTATGCCTCAGTCCTGTCCTGAGGATTCTATCAAGGGCCTAAGCCCCAAATTGCCAAATGTTCAGGGGCGTGCCGCGTTGCCCCTGAGGTTCCCGGCGTGCCCCCTGGGATCCGGGCCGTCTTCCCGCATGACTTCTTCGGTCTCAAGAGGGCCCCCAAGACGGTCCAAGGGGGCCCCGAGTCGCCGCACGATCGGTCCAAGACGCCCAAGACGGGCTCAAGACGGCCCAAGATGCCTCCAAGACTCCCCAGGAGGCTTCCCAAGGGGGCCACAAGAGGCAAACATCACTTATTACCGTTAGGTGTTTGAAAGATTTTGGCGTTATCGTCTTTTTGGCTTCCCGACGCTCCAAGACGGCGTAAGAGACTCCAGAGATCGCCCCAGACGGCCCAAGATGTCTCCCAGAGGGCCGCAAGAACGCCCCAGAGGGCCCGAAGACGGCCCAAGCCACCTCAAACGGCTCCAAGAGGAAGCCCAGACGGGGGACCCGAAGGGACATTTCGAGCCCTCGGCCCCGAGAGGCCCCCAAGAGGAACCAACAGGCCCCCAGAGGCCTTCAGAGGCTCCCAAACCGCCCCCAACCTGCCTCCACGCGGCCCCCGAGAGCGCTCCGAAGAGACCCCCAGAAGCATCCTGGAGGACTCTGATCCACAATCCAGGCACGGTGGCGGGATGGGCCGAAGTCCATTCTGTCCGCCGCCCCCTGTCGATTCATCGCAGGGGTGCCTGGCGTGCTGGACTTCTTACGGTTTTGGTTTTGGTTCTTTTTGCAAACGAGCTCCCCCTGGCGCTTCGGCCCGTCCCGCTGGGGTCCCGGGAGGCTCTTCCAGGAGCGCAGACGACCTCAACGTCCACAACAAATTCTCCAAGACGGCTCAAGATGGCCTCCAAGATGTTGGCCCAAGATGGCCTCCAAGATGGCGCAAGATGGCCTCCAAGTTCGCCCAACATGGTCCAAGACGGCCTCCAAGACGGCCCAAGAGGCCAAGACGGCCCAAGAGGCCCCCCAGAGGCCTCCAAGACGGCCCCAGAGGCCTCAAAGAGGTCCTCCAGGAGGGCCCGGAGAGGCCAAAATCGTTGGTTTTCCTTAGGTTTGTGAAGGACTTTGGCATTCTTTTCCGACGATCCAAGACGGCCCAAGAGGCCCCCAAGATCGCCCCCACAGCGCCCAAGAGGCTTCCAAGATTGCCTCAGGACTGCCCAAGAGGCCCCCAAGACAGCCCCAAGAGGCCACAAAGACGACCCAAGAGGCCTCCAATACGCCCAAGATGGCCTCTAAGACAGCCCTGGAGCACCCCAAGAGGGCCCCAAGTCGGCCCAGAAAGGCCCCCCAAACGGCTTCCGACGGCGTCAGACGGGCCAGGAGCCCACCAAGATAGCCGAAGATGGCTCGAAGCTGGCCCAAGACTGGCCAAGAGGCCTCCAAGAGGGCCTCCAGGAAGGCCAGAAAAAGGCCAAAAGCACCGAGTTTCCCTAGGTGTTTGAAAGATTTTGACATTTGCTTCGTTTCGGCCTTCCGACGGCCCGATACGGCCCAAGAGCCCCCAAAGATCGCCCATAGATCGCCCAAGAGGCCTCCGAGATGGCCCCAGAACGACCCAAGAGTCCCCCAAGACGGCCCCAAGAGGCACCCAAGACGGCCAAGGAGGCTTTTAAGACGCCCAAGATGGCCTCCAAGACTGCCCTGGAGCATTCCAAGAGGACCCCAAATCGGCTCAGAGAGGCCCCCCAACCGGCTTCCGAAGGCGTCGGACGGGCCAGGGGCCCACCAAGACGGCCGAAGATAGCACTACGGCCCAAGAGGCCTCCAAGAGGGCTTCCAGGAAGGCCCGAAAAGGCTAAAATCATTGATTCCCCATGAGTTTTTGAAGGATTGCGGCATTTGCTTTTTGTTCGGCCTTCCGACGGCCCGAGGCGGCCCAAGTGCCCCCAAAGATCGCCCAAAAGGCCCAAGACGGCCCCAAGGGGCCCCCAAGACGGCCCAAGAGGCCTCCAAGACGCTCAAGATTGCCTCCAAGACGGCCCAAGAGCCCTCCAAGACGTCCTCCAAGAAGGCCCGAAAGGGCCCAACAGGGGGGGCCCCTCTGGGGGCCCTCTTCTGCACCCCCCCTCTTGGGCCACCCCCCTGTTGCCACCCGCCCGAGCATCTGCACCGAGCATTGGCCCAGAATCGGCGCACAACTCCGCCGTGTTGGCCCGGCCAGGGACGCATCCACAGTCGGCCCGTATCACAAGGAGGCGCGAGAAGGAGCAGGAGCCTCGGACGCCCATGTCGAAGCTTCTCGAGCGGGGGGGCGGCCCGCGAAAGTGGCCAAGGGTGGACCGAGGAGGCAAGGATGCAAGGGTACCCTTGGGGAGGTTGCCCGTCCTTACTATGCGGGTGGACTGTAAGAGACCTCGATGCAGGCACTGTCTGGGGAATGCGCCCGCATTGCAGTAATATTGGCGTGCGCGCCTGCTTTCATGTGATCCACGTCTTGGTGCGCAAGAATCCTGACGGCAGATTCGCTGGCTTGGTGCCCGCGCATTCCGCTGTACGATCGAAGTTTGCACCCAAATCTTTTTTTTGTTGTCCGATCCACGTGCGTGAGGAGGCTGCGCTGTCTGTGCCTCACGGCAGAGCCTAAAGCTACCGCAGGAAGGAATGCTGGTGGACGTATGGGGACGGACGGAGGAGGGAAAGAGCACCGAGGCGGCGGGATGGAGCACGGAGGCCGAGGGATGGATGAGGAACAGGAAGAATCTTCGGAGGACGACTCGGAGGAGGAAGAGGAAAAGAAACTCGGCGGCGAGCGAGGAGGGGAAATGAGAAGGAGAAGGCCTTCTCAGAAGGCTTGGAAGTCCACCGGCCTTCCGAGAAGTTCTACAAGCCTTCCCCGAAGACACCGAGAGTCCCTGCGAAGGCGCGAGGGCTTCTGAGAAGCCCGCCGCCTTCCGCGAAGGCCTTCCCCTTCCCGCGCCCCCCCCTCGCTCGCCGCCGAGACACAGGAGGAACCAGGAGAGGGACACGGAGGACGAGCGCGGGGCTGAGCAGGCAGGGCGCCTCGCGCCCAGGGCCGCCGAGAGCTCGAGAGCGCGCCCGCGGGAGCCTCGGGAAGCCCGGGCGCCTCGACGCCTGCCAGGCGCTCGCGGCGTCCGAGGCCTCGGGCCCGCGCCGCTCTCCTCGCTGCGGGGCCCCACCTCCCAGGGGCGGCACGCCACGCCGCCCCGCGGGCTCGGCCGGGGACGCCTCTGCGGCCCCACGGTCGGCCCGCAGCCTCAGGAGGCGCGCGCGAGAAGGCCGCGAGGGCCCTCAGAAGGGGGCCCTTTGTGGAGGCCCTCTTGGTGGAGCACGCAGGGGCCCAACAGGGGGGGCCCCTCTGGGGGCCCTCTTCTGCACCCCCCCACCTGGGCCACCCCCCTGTTGCCACCCGCCCGAGCATCTGCACCGAGCATTGGCCCAGGCTCGGCGCACCACTCCGGCGTGTTGGCCCGGCCAGGGGCGCATCCACAGTCGGCCCGTATCACGAGGAGGCGCGAGAAGGAGGCAGGAGCCTCGGACGCCCATGTCGAAGCTTCTCGAGCGGGGGGGCGGCCCGCGAAAGTGGCCAAGGGTGGACCGAGGAGGCAAGGATGCAAGGGTACCCTTGGGGAGGTTGCCCGTCCTTGCTATGCGGGTGGACTGTAAGAGACCTCGATGCAGGCACTGTCTGGGGAATGCGCCCGCATTGCAGTAATATTGGCGTGCGCGCCTGCTTTCATGTGATCCACGTCTTGGTGCGCAAGAATCCTGACGGCAGATTCGCTGGCTTGGTGCCCGCGCATTCCGCTGTACGATCGACGTTTGCACCCAAATCTTTTTTTTGTTGTCCGATCCACGTGCGTGAGGAGGCTGCGCTGTCTGTGCCTCACGGCAGAGCCTAAAGCTACCGCAGGAAGGAATGCTGGTGGACGTATGGGGACGGACGGAGGAGGGAAAGAGCACCGAGGCGGCGGCATGGAGCACGGAGGCCGAGGGATGGATGAGGAACAGGAAGAATCTTCGGAGGACGACTCGGAGGAGGAGGAAGAGGAAAAGAAACTCGGCGGCGAGCGAGGAGGGGAAATGAGAAGGAGAAAGCCTTCTCAGAAGGCTTGGAAGTCCACCGGCCTTCCGAGAAGTTCTACAAGCCTTCCCCGAAGACACCGAGAGTCCCTGCGAAGGCGCGAGGGCTTCTGAGAAGCCCGCCGCCTTCCGCGAAGGCCTTCCCCTTCCCGCGCCCCCCCCTCGCTCGCCGCCGAGACACAGGAGGAACCAGGAGAGGGACACGGAGGACGAGCGCGGGGCTGAGCAGGCAGGGCGCCTCGCGCCCAGGGCCGCCGAGAGCTCGAGAGCGCGCCCGCGGGAGCCTCGGGAAGCCCGGGCGCCTCGACGCCTGCCAGGCGCTCGCGGCGTCCGAGGCCTCGGGCCCGCGCCGCTCTCCTCGCTGCGGGGCCCCACCTCCCAGGGGCGGCACGCCACGCCGCCCCGCGGGCTCGGCCGGGGACGCCTCTGCGGCCCCACGGTCGGCCCGCAGCCTCAGGAGGCGCGCGCGAGAAGGCCGCGAGGGCCCTCAGAAGGGGGCCCTTTGTGGAGGCCCTCTTGGTGGAGCACGCAGGGGCCCAACAGGGGGGGCCCCTCTGGGGGCCCTCTTCTGCACCCCCCCACCTGGGCCACCCCCCTGTTGCCACCCGCCCGAGCATCTGCACCGAGCATTGGCCCAGGCTCGGCGCACCACTCCGGCGTGTTGGCCCGGCCAGGGGCGCATCCACAGTCGGCCCGTATCACGAGGAGGCGCGAGAAGGAGGCAGGAGCCTCGGACGCCCATGTCGAAGCTTCTCGAGCGGGGGGGCGGCCCGCGAAAGTGGCCAAGGGTGGACCGAGGAGGCAAGGATGCAAGGGTACCCTTGGGGAGGTTGCCCGTCCTTGCTATGCGGGTGGACTGTAAGAGACCTCGATGCAGGCACTGTCTGGGGAATGCGCCCGCATTGCAGTAATATTAGCGTGCGCGCCTGCTTTCATGTGATCCACGTCTTGGTGCGCAAGAATCCTGACGGCAGATTCGCTGGCTTGGTGCCCGCGCATTCCGCTGTACGATCGAAGTTTGCACCCAAATCTTTTTTTTGTTGTCCGATCCACGTGCGTGAGGAGGCTGCGCTGTCTGTGCCTCACGGCAGAGCCTAAAGCTACCGCAGGAAGGAATGCTGGTGGACGTATGGGGACGGACGGAGGAGGGAAAGAGCACCGAGGCGGCGGGATGGAGCACGGAGGCCGAGGGATGGATGAGGAACAGGAAGAATCTTCGGAGGACGACTCGGAGGAGGAGGAAGAGGAAAAGAAACTCGGCGGCGAGCGAGGAGGGGAAATGAGAAGGAGAAAGCCTTCTCAGAAGGCTTGGAAGTCCACCGGCCTTCCGAGAAGTTCTACAAGCCTTCCCCGAAGACACCGAGAGTCCCTGCGAAGGCGCGAGGGCTTCTGAGAAGCCCGCCGCCTTCCGCGAAGGCCTTCCCCTTCCCGCGCCCCCCCCTCGCTCGCCGCCGAGACACAGGAGGAACCAGGCGAGGGACGCGGAGGACGAGCGCGGGGCTGAGCAGGCAGGGCGCCTCGCGCCCAGGGCCGCCGAGAGCTCGAGAGCGCGCCCGCGGGAGCCTCGGGAAGCCCGGGCGCCTCGACGCCTGCCAGGCGCTCGCGGCGTCCGAGGCCTCGGGCCCGCGCCGCTCTCCTCGCTGCGGGGCCCCACCTCCCAGGGGCGGCACGCCACGCCGCCCCGCGGGCTCGGCCGGGGACGCCTCTGCGGCCCCACGGTCGGCCCGCAGCCTCAGGAGGCGCGCGCGAGAAGGCCGCGAGGGCCCTCCGAAGGGGGCCCTTTGTGGAGCCCCTCCTGGTGGAGCACGCAGGGGCCCAACCGGGGGGGCCCCTCTGGGGGCCCTCTTCTGCACCCCCCCACCTGGGCCACCCCCCTGTTGCCACCCGCCCGAGCATCTGCACCGAGCATTGGCCCAGGCTCGGCGCACCACTCCGGCATGCTGGCCCGGCCAGGGGCGCATCCACAGTCGGCCCGTATCACGAGGAGGCGCGAGAAGGAGGCAGGAGCCTCGGACGCCCATGTCGAAGCTTCTCGAGCGGGGGGGCGGCCCGCGAAAGTGGCCAAGGGTGGACCGAGGAGGCAAGGATGCAAGGGTACCCTTGGGGAGGTTGCCCGTCCTGGCTATGCGGGTGGACTGTAAGAGACCTCGATGCAGGCACTGTCTGGGGAATGCGCCCGCATTGCAGTAATACTAGCGTGCGCGCCTGCTTTCATGTGATCCACGTCTTGGTGCGCAAGAATCCTGACGGCAGATTCGCTGGCTTGGTGCCCGCGCATTCCGCTGTACGATCGAAGTTTGCACCCAAATCTTTTTTTTGTTGTCCGATCCACGTGCGTGAGGAGGCTGCGCTGTCTGTGCCTCACGGCAGAGCCTAAAGCTACCGCAGGAAGGAATGCTGGTGGACGTATGGGGACGGACGGAGGAGGGAAAGAGCACCGAGGCGGCGGGATGGAGCACGGAGGCCGAGGGATGGATGAGGAACAGGAAGAATCTTCGGAGGACGACTCGGAGGAGGAGGAGGAGGAAAAGAAACTCGGCGGCGAGCGAGGAGGGGAAATGAGAAGGATACGGCCTTCTCAGAAGGCTTGGAAGTCCCCCGGCCTTCCGAGAAGTTCTACAAGCCTTCCCCGAAGACACCGAGAGTCCCTGCGAAGGCGCGAGGGCTTCTGAGAAGCCCGTCGCCTTCCGCGAAGGCCTTCCCCTTCCCGCGCCCCCCCCTCGCTCGCCGCCGAGACACAGGAGGAACCAGGAGAGGGACGCGGAGGACGAGCGCGGGGCTGAGCAGGCGGGGCGCCTCGCGCCCACGGCCGCCGAGAGCTCGAGAGCGCGCCCGCGGGAGCCTCGGGAAGTCCGGGCGCCTCGACGCCTGCCGGGCGCTCGCTGCGTCCGAGGCCTCGGGCCCGCGCCGCTCTCCTCACTGCGGGGCCCCACCTCCCAGGGGCGGCACGCCACGCCGCCCCGCGGGCTCGGCCGGGGACGCCTCTGCGGCCCCACGGTCGGCCCGCAGCCTCAGGAGGCGCGCGCGAGAAGGCCGCGAGGGCCCTCAGGAGGGGGCCCTTTATTATGGAGGCCCTCTTGGTGGAGCACGCAGGGGCCCAACAGGGGGGGCCCCTCTGGGGGCCCTCTTCTGCACCCCCCCACCTGGGCCACCCCCCTGTTGCCACCCGCCCGAGCATCTGCACCGAGCATTGGCCCAGGCTCGGCGCACCACTCCGGCGTGTTGGCCCGGCCAGGGGCGCATCCACAGTCGGCCCGCATCACGAGGAGGCGCGAGAAGGAGGCAGGAGCCTCGGACGCCCATGTCGAAGCTTCTCGAGCGGGGGGGGCGGCCCGCGAAAGTGGCCAAGGGTGGACCGAGGAGGCAAGGATGCAAGGGTACCCTTGGGGAGGTTGCCCGTCCTTGCTATGCGGGTGGACTGTACACCGGACGCTGGCCCAAGATAGGCCTGGCCGGGATCGGTACACGTGTGCGCGGTCCTCGTCGCCCGAGATGACAGATGAGAAGGGGGAAGACGAACAGGGCCGCCAGGGGTGATCGACAGCACCGGGGAGGTCTCTCCAGACATCCCGCGCCTCGGCTTCTTTGAGACACGGGCCCCCGACCTCGCGACCACTTCCTCGTGACCGATGTTCCATCGAGGGGCAACGATCGGGGGGGTCTGGCATAAGGGGGGGATGCATCGACCTGGAAATGGCGATACATCGTCGAGAGATCGGCGATGCGACCCCGATAGCCTCAGACTAATCGCGCGAGTCGTCCTTTGACGGTCCCAGGGCCTGGCGAGGGTTCCTGGATGCCGCACACGGCCAAAGCCCTCCCGTCTTTTTGTTTTCTCACGACGCGGGCATGTCTTGATGCGGAGTCGGGGGCGTCCAAGAGGGGGGCATCCAGGAGGGGGGCGGCGCAAATCATGGCCGGCGGCACGTGTGCGGCCCACAAGCGGGGGGGAAAGAAGAAGAGGCGCCATGACATCTGGAGAGATCTCATGGTCCCCGCCGTGACATCCCCCCCCTCCCGGCCAAAAGACCGTTTTTTGGATCGGCGATAACCCGGGTTATCCGGGGGTGCGGGAAGGAGGGGGCCGGCCGATAACCTAACCTTCGCGCTGTGGGCAGCCCTGCAGATGCCCGCGCCCCCCCACCCCAGACCTGCACAACCGGCAAGGTTAATTAGGTTACTCCAGATTTCGTCATAAAAGTGAGGGGGTCTGGACCCTCCAAGACAAGCCATTTCAGACCTCCCCCGTGGGAGAACCCTTCAAAACATCGTCCCCAGACCCCAGGCCCTCCAAGATAGCCTGGAAGAGACCCCCCCCGAAATGAGACCCCCCTCCCTTTATTACGAAATCTGGAGTATCCTTGGGGGGTGGGAAGTGGGGGCAAGCCCGATAACCCGGGTTATCGCCGGACCCTGAAGAAAACAGTCTCCAATCCTCACCCCCCTCTGGGCCGCTCTCGACGGAAGCGCTTCTCGGTGACTCCGCGGGCCGCTCGTGCGGACTTTCGGGGTGCCCCGCGCGCTTCGGCTCTCGCGCCAGGGGCGCCCCGCGAGGGCCCCTTCTCAGAGTTTCGAGGAGCGTCGCCGTCGTGGCAGCCAGACCCAGAGATCCGACGCTCCAAAACAAAAATTGGAGCGGACGGTTTTCGGCCGTTTTCGGACCCCAAGGGCCCACGCTGGGCCTCGCGGGACCGTCCAAAAACGGCACGGGACGAAAAACTGGCCCTGGGGAAGTGGTCCCGACCTCCGGGGCCCACGCATCAAAACATTTGAGCAGCCGGATGTCTGGGTCGGTGTCGTCCCCGATGTGGTCCATCCGAGGCACAAAGCCGCCTGCCCAGCAGCAGCCGCTGTCGGTTTGGGGCAACATGTGTTGTGCTGGGCACCGTGCCCACTCTCGTCTGTACCCCATTCGGGCGTGCCAAGGTGCCGGTTGACCTCTGGGGCCCACGCATCGAACAAAATTGCGGCGGCCGCTCTGCGCCGAGGCCTCGGCATGGCCCTCCGGGGAAGGCGCGACGGATCCGCTCTGTGGGCGCCCCTTTCCTCCTGGCCCCCTTCTCAGAAGAAGGAGCGACGGCATGCAGTCAATCCCTACCATGACGACTCGCGATAAGGATGCAGGGGCCTTGGACGGCCATTTCGCAGCTTTTCGAGCGGGGCGCGGCCAACGAAAGTGGCCAAGGGTGGACCGAGGAGGCAAGGATGCAGGGGTTACCCTGGGGGAGGTTGCCCACCCTTCTCGTGCGGGTGGACCGTGACCATGAACTCTTGGCGCTCCGCGCTGGATCGGCGCTGCACCGCCCTCCCCGGCGCGACGAGCGCAACAGGGGCGGCGCTGGACGCGCCGCCGAGGGGGCGCCCAGCGCCGAGCCACGAAATCCGCGCGGAGCGCCAAGAGTTTCTGTTTGTGTAGCTGTTCCTCCCTCGACTGCTGGAGGGCCACGCTGCGCAAACCTATAGATTTTCGGAGCTCCGCGCGGATTTCTCGGATCGGCACCGCCCTCCCCGGCACGCGGAGCGCAGCAGGGGCAGCGCTGGACGCGGCGCCACTGGACGCGCCGCCAAGGGGGGGGCCCAGCGCCGAGCCACGAACTCTGTCAGGAGGAGGAGGAGGAGGTGGAGGAGGAGCACGAGGAGGAGCACGAGGAGGAGGAGGAGGAGGAGGAGGAGGAGAGGAGGAGGAGGAGGAGGAGGAGGAGAAGGAGAGAGAGATGGAGGAGGAGGAGGAGGAGGAGGAGTAGGAGGAGGAGGAGGAGGAGGAGGAGGAGGAGGAGGAGGAGGAGGAGGAGGAGGAGGAGGAGGAGGAGGAGGAGTGAGGAGAAGTGCTGCTCTCAAGCAGCGTCTGGCCTTCGAGGCCCTCGCCGCTCGGCCCTGGGGGCCGGCCCGCATCACCTCTTGATGGCCGGGCTGGTGTGAATCACGACCGCGTCCGGGTAGTAGTAGGCCCTGAGGATCTCGGCCGCGGCGACGGAGCGGTGGCGGCCCTTCGTGCAGTTGATCGACACCGCGTGCAGCCCCTCGCTCTCGATCTTGTTGATGCACATCTCGAGCCACCGCGGGAAGAGGGCGCAGCTGGCGACGTTCTTCTGCACGGCCTCCGTCAGGCCGTTGTCCACCCTGCTCGGGGAGGCCCGTCGAGGACTCGGGCACGCGCCAGCACGGATCAGGGATCCGTGGAACTGGCGCGTCGGCGTCCTCCTCCTCCTCCTCCTCCTCCTCCTCCTCCTTCTCCTCCTCCTCCAGGTTCATGGCTAGGGGGAAAGCACCCCCAAACATGAGGCCATTGCCGCCCGATTCGGCGACGGATCGCGCCGAGTCCATGTGGAAACGGGACCCATCGCTGATCCACTCGCCCTGCTCCATGCTTGCGCTTCCTCGAAGGAAGACTGCTAGTCCAGTCCAGTCCCTCCCCCATCCCCCTGCCTCTCTGGGGTCGGGGGGAGACCGGCAGCTTAGCTCAGGGGCCCGCTCCTGACTGCCGCAGCTTTCATGTGGCCATGGGGCGCATGTAGGGCACCAGTATCGCGCAACCGCCATGAGGAGGGCACAGAAGCCTGCCTCGAGCAAGGCGCGTGTGCGAGCTGACTCGTAGGGCGGGCCGCTCGGGTGCAAAAGGTGACAAGGACCCAAACACACGACGGATTGATTAGTTCTTGTTCCATCCGCGGGCCCCGCAAGTCTGCATGTTTGATGGCCCCGGGGCCCGAGAACGGCCTCCAGAGGCCGAGGTGGAGACGAGTCGCCAGCGTCCGAGTGGAGGGTCGGATCGGCACGTCTGCCCCGGGTCCCGCCTGATGTCCGCGCCGCCGCCGCGCCCGTTGAGGATGCCGGCGTTGAAATTGGCCTGGCTGTCGGCAGGGGCCACCTCTCGGGAGCCCCAACGTTCAGTCTGGCATGTCCCTCGACGGACAAAGAATAAAACATCCGCCGACCCCGTGTCGGCAGTCGTCGCCTGTCCCTGCGCCCCCCCTTTCCCTGGGCCCGTCTCCCCTCCCCCCTTTCCCCCTTTTCCCTGGGCCCGTCGCCGCTCCCCTCCCTGTTTTTCCAGGGCCTCCCCCTCAAGAGCAACGTTGTCATTGAGTCGAAGGGGAGCCCCTTCCCTTTGATCCACTCCCTGCGGGGGGGGGGGGGGGCCTGGAGGGGGTCCCAGGGGGGGGTCCCTGGGGGAGTCCCGAGGCGGGTCCAGGGGGGGGGTCCCGCGTCAGATGCGACTCCCTCCCAGGGGTCCTGGGGCCCACACAAAGCCTCAGACGGGCCAAGAGCCGAGGCATTCTACCCGGCCCGCTCCTCCCTCCCCCCTCCTCCCCCCATCCTCATCTCTCCTCTTTCCTCCGTCCCCCTCCAGAACCGAACCGGCCTCCTGGACGCTCCCCAGCCCCGAGGACCTCCTCCCAGGACCCAGCACCAGGAACCGCCGGCCCCCCAAAGAGTCCAGGACTCCGCCCTTCCTGCTCGCCTCGTCCTGCTCCTATTCATTTCCCCCCTCTCCTCCTCCTCCTCCTCCTCCTCCTCCTCCTCCTCTCCTCCTCCTCCTCCTTCCCTCCTCCTCCTCCTCCTCCTCCTCCTCCTCCTCCTCCTCCTCCTCCTCCTCCTCCTCCTCCTCCTCCTCCTCCTCTCCTCCCTCCTCCTCCTCCCTCCTCCTCCTCCTCCTCCTTCCTCCTCCTCCTCCTCCTCCTCCTCCTCCTCCTCCTCCTCCTCCTCCTCCTCCTCCTCCTCCTCCTCCTCCTCCTCTCTCCTCCTCTCCTCCTCCTCCTCCTCCTCCTCCTCCTCCTCCTCCTCCTCCTCCACCTCCTCCTCCTCCTCCTCCTCCTCCTCCCTCCTCCCTCCTCCTCCTCCTCCTCCTCCTCCTCCTCCTCCCTCCTCCTCCTCCTCCTCCTCCTCCTCCTCCTCCTCCTCCTCCTCCTCCTCCCCCCCTCATACTCCCTGACGTCCTCCGCCTCCTGCTCCTCAACGCCCTTGTCCTGCTCGTCGTCTCCGTCTGCAGGGGCGGCGGCACCGGCCGCAAGGCCTTCGCAATAGGCTGGGGGCGACTTGTTATTTTATGTTTGATTATTGTTGAATTCTTTTTGGGCTCTTCTGGACTCTTCCTCCGAAATCTGTCTGTGGGAGGCCAGGCCCCACCTGACCCCAACGACCTGTTATCTTATGCGTGATTCTTGTTGGATTCTTTTTGGGGTCTCCTGGACTTTCCCTCCAAACTCTGCCTGTGGGAGGTCGGGCCCCATCCGACCCCCAACGACCCCGCGCGGAGCCCGCGGCTGCGGAGGCCCGCCCCGCGCGGAGAGGGGCGGAGACCCCGCACCCCCGGGCCCCGCCGCTCCTCCTCGGTGCCCCCGAAGCAAGGGAACAAAAATCACGACGGGAGGTCCTACGAAAGTCGGCTGCACGCAAAGAGTGACCCTGGGTAGGAGTGACCTCTGGTGCGCGGCTTTTTGGGGCCCGCGGGGAGACCAAGCCTGGGCGCGCAAGCCGCTGCTGCCGCTTCGTCTTCAGCCATCTGAGGAGCCATCTGTGCCCGCACCAAAGGTCACTCCGGCGAAAGGTCACTCTTACGTCAAGTCGAACATGTTCGTTCTCTGGGGGCCCTTACTGGGCCTCGGGACCGTCAGCACAGCGACTCGGGAGAGGAGAGACCAGTCCGGGGGACACGGTCGGTACCTCTGGGGGTCGGCGTCACGAGCAAAGCATGGCCTCGGGGGTCTGGGCTCCCTGCTCCCTGCACTCCCCCACCCCCTTTTCCCCTCCCGCCCCCCTTCAAGACGAGGCCAGGACGAGGACAGACTCGGGTGAGGACAAATCGAGCATTTCTGAAGTCCGTCGGTTCTGGAAGGTGGCTCGGGCGACGCGGCCTTCTCACAGCGTTCCGGAACGCTCTGAGAGCGTTCAGGAGCGCTATGGGGCCGATTTATCCTCGTCCTAGCCCCGCACGACCCTCCCCCCCTCCCCTCCCCTCGGAGCCCGTGCGTTGTGGACCAGTGCTGCATCGCAGTGCAACGCCTTCGTGTAATTAGCGCTCTGGGAAAACCGTTTAAACGAGCCGCGTGATAGATTTATAATCACAGCGGCACTGGTAGAAAGAGAAGATGGAGAGGACCACTCTGCTAAAGGCCTCCTAGATATGGGGTCGGAATAGATGGGGTCGGAGGATCGCGCCGCATCGGCGATACATCGGCGATACATCGGCGATACATCGCCGATGCATCGGCGATGCATCGGCGACATCGGCGATACGGCGCAATCCTCCGACCCCATCTACTCCGACCCCATCGGGGAGGCCTTGATCTGCACTGCACGCTCTGGCACTCCCCGCCGACAACCCCGCCTTCCCTGCTAATTGGGCCTCGCCTCCTCCGCCGCGAATCTGCGAGGCTCCCCAGCCAGCGAGGGTCTGGGCCCCCCCGGGGCGCCTTGCGGAACGCCTTGCCCCACGTGTAGATCGTGAGATCCCTGTGCTGCTGCACGCTCAGGGCCGCCGGGTCGGGAAGGAAGTCCGCGAAGTCTCCTGCAGTGGAACCGGGTGTTTCCAAGGGTGTATCTGGCCCTAGCGAGGGACGCACATAGGGGGGGGGGCTGGCTCAGGGTGACAAACATCGACCTGGAATCGGCGATACATCGCCGACAGATCGGCGATAAGCCCCCCATAGCAAATCCGCACCATGGGCAGGGTGGGGCTATCAGGCCCAAACTGGCGATGAAGGGCGGTTCGGGGTCGATGCGTTTCCCTCTGAGCCTATCGCCCCCCCCACTCCCCCTGTCGTTGCCCCTGGCCAAGGGTGTCCCCTGGATTTTTCCACGGCGGCCATGCGCCCGCGCTGGCGTCGCCGCCGCGCCAGTGCGGCGGGACGTACTTACCCAGCAGAGCTCGAGCTAAAGAATGTTTCTCGTTTTTTTTGAATCGTGTTCCTTCGCTCTGTCTTCCTTCAGCCTCTGCTGCGAAACGACATCGAAACGAAAACGGTCCACGACAACGCCAAAACACCGCTCAGCTCGAGCCCTGGGACCCTGTGGGTTGGTGGGCGCAGCGGGGGTCGTCGGGTCCTGCCACGACGTCGCCCTCGCCGCCCTCGGCGAAGCCGGGCTGCTCCTGTTTGGCGACGTCCACGAAGCGGGTGGCGCAAGGGGGTCTGGGCTTCTGCACAGGGAGCCCACAAAGCATGCACGCGCCCAACCACGTAATGCGGGATGACGATGAAAACAACAAATGGGGGAGAACGATGAAAACATAGTTTACTGCTACTCCTGCACAAGATTCTGACTGGAGGAGAACGAACGAAGCGCCGTGCACGTCAGGGGTGCGTTGGCAAATAAGTGAAACAGCAAGTTCCGCTGCCGGAGGCGCGGCTGCGAATCAAGAAGACGCCGCGCAGACAGCGACGACGGCGGCGGCGAAGGGGGGGGAGGACGACGAGGGGGAGGAGGACGAAAGCGAGGAGGAAGGCGAGGAGGAAACAGCACTGGCAGGCTCACTGCTCACGCTGTTTCAGTCCATGTGAGTGGCTCTCCCACCACCCCGTAAGCAGAGACAGTCCACTCTACATTCAGCCAAACCATCCATATCTGCTGAATGCTACAGCTGCGAAGAGAAGCGCCTTGCGACTCCGCGCCAGTCTCCAGGTCTGTGCCGCCACAGCTCCGCCAAGGCGTCTCGGCCACCGGCCGCTGCGCAGGCGAAGTCAAACACATTGCGCTTCCATGTGTTCCTCGGTCTGCCCCGCCTCGGGGGCCCGAAAGGGCGGGCTAGGATGAACGACCCTGGTTGGAATACCGTTCGTCGCGTGACATTGTCTTCTGGTAGACAAGCGATTTTTCCAATCAGCTCGAGCTGCTTGCAAGCTAAACTGGATGTCAGACGATTCCTGCCGCACCTCTCCAGCACGGCTGCGTTGGACACCCGGCTGAGATAGGAGTGAGGGACTCCTGCGATTCTTCGCAGGCGCCGCGCTTGGAAGGCGTCCAGTCGCGATCTCTCTGCCTGGTTCAACCAGAGGGTGTGCAGGCAGTACATCAGCTTGGGCACGACACAGGCTTCAAACATCATGACCTTCTTGGGTAGACATATCTTTGCGTGTCTCCACAGTCTGCACAGCGTGTCGAAATCTTTCTGGGCCATGCCGGTGCGCCGACTGAGTTCAGCTCCGCTCCCGCCGTTTGCGTGGAGCAGCCCCCCAAGATACACCATGTTATCCTTCTGGGTGATCGGTTGACCGTCAGGGCGTAGGAGCTGTGTCTGGCCACGAATTGACATTACCTCTAGCTTGCCCCAATTAAAACATAAGCCATAATTGGTGCCGGCCTCTCTGATGCTCTCCATGAGATCGCGGATGTACTCCTCTGTCACACCAACAATCAATGTGTCATCGGCGTAGATCAATTCGCTCAGGTGCAGCCGGCCATCTTGATGAATGCCTCTGCCGAGCATGCTGCGCGTCGCGTCGAACATCAGCAGGGTCATCACGATCGAGAAGAGAAAAGGCGACAGCGGGCATCCCTGTGAGATCCCGAACGCTTGCGGCCTTGAGTCGGACATGGACCCCGCGTCGCGCACGCAGAAGCTCCGGTTAGTATATGTGGCCTTGACCGCCGATGCGAACTTCTCGGGCGCACCGAAGCGGACGAGCGCCTGCGCCAAGCTATCGGGAGACACGCTGTCGAACGCCTTCGCCCAGTCAAGCGCGAGGAGAATCAGCTTGCCTGCTTCGGAGTCCCACGCGTCCTCGATCAAACGCCTGGCGATGAACAGAGCGTCCGCTGTTCCCCGGCCAGATCGGGAGCCGAATTGAGTGGTCCATATGCGTTCTTCGGCCCCTGCCTTTTTCAGTCGCGACAACAATATCATTGCGTACAACTTGTGCCCAAATCGGCAGAAGGGATATGGGTCGATAATTTGCACAGTCAGAAGAATCGCCTTTCTTGAATATAGCAGAAACGACAGCCTCGTGCCAGGCTTCGGGAACGTCTGCTTCCAGCCAACACCGGTTGCAAAGTAAGACGGCCCACTGGCAAGCTGGCGTCTCAGCCACGCGCGCAGCCTTCCAGAACTCAGCTGGCACGCCGTCCTTTCCCGCGGCCCGGTTCCGCTTCAGAGCTCGCGCCGCTTCGCATACTTCCTGCTCGGTAATCGGCCCCAATTCTGTCGGGAGTGCGTCCCCCACTGGTTCGGGATTGTCGACAACCGTAGTCGGCCTCACTGCCCACTGCACGTTCTCGAAATATTCTGCCAGAGTTTGCGCTCTCAGGTCGCTGTCTACAAGACGCCCTTGTGAGTCCTTCATTCGGCCCTGCGCGGCCGTCAAACCTTTGCGCAACCTTCGGACTTCGTCCCAATCTCCGGTCTGCAGTCGCTTGTCCAGCCAGATGATCTCGTCGTTCTTCACAAAAGCTTCTGTCCTACCATTGAGAATCTTCTCGCGTGCCAGATGGCCCCCCGCCCGGGCCCTGTTCCTAGCTGCGATCAGTTCCACCGTGGCGTCGCTGATCCACGGACGTCTGTGCGCCTGCCGGGTCTGGGGCAGACACGCAGCAGCAGAGGCAGAGAAGGCATCAACCATGCTATTGTTCAGCTCGTCGAGCGTCTGCCGGGCCCCCGACGCTCTGCTGCCATGTAGTCCGTGAAGGCGTTGTTGAAGCTTCGCTGGAGCGGTGCTTGAGCGAGCGCCTGCACGTCGACTTTCTGCCGGCACGATTGGTGGGCGTCGTCGATGTCGAGCTGGGCGTAGCACAACAGCAAGAAATGGTGAGAAGCGAGAGCTATATCTTTGTTGCTTCGGACGTCTGTCACGCACTCCAGGCGTGCACCTGAGCAAAACAAGAAGTCGATTTGGCCATAATGTTCTGGGACTGCTGGACTGGACGGCTGTGATCCGACATTGTAGCACGTGACCTGCTGCTCTGCGGGATGGTTGAAGAATGTGTTCGCGATCACGAAGTCATGGGTGCTGCACAGCTCGAGCAACAACGTCCGATTGGAAGACGGATTATGCTGCGCGGCAGGGTTGCCGAATATGTATTCCCCCAGGTGCGCGGACTCCCCGGCGAAGCGCCTGTGCAGCCTCGCATTGAAATCGCCTAACACCACTGCCCGTTGCCGGCCAGATGCACCAGATAGCTCTTCTCCAAGCTGTGTAAAAATCCCGTCTGGCGTCCAAGGGCTTGCCACTGTGAGGGGCGTACACACTGAAGATAGGAAGCTTCCCACCATGGACACGCAGAATGATAAACATGATCCTGGCAGAAACCATCCGACAACCGACGGTGCTTCTCCGGATGTCTGGCGCGATCAAGAAAGCAACGCCGGCGGTATCCTGATCGTCTGAGTCCCCCGATTGGATCAGTAGGAAACCTTTGTCTGTAATATCGTACACGGGCTCGTACTTGTGAGGTTCTTGTAATGCCAAAATATCAATACTAAGCTCCTGCATGTGAACCTGGAGTTCCTCTACCTTTGCCTTGGTGAGCCCCTCCACGTTCCAGGAACCCAGCAGAGTGTCCCTCCCGCAAGGGCGCAGACTCCCACCTCGAAAGCCAGGGTCTCCAGCGCCATTGCTCCCAGCACGTGCATATGTACAAGTTGATAAAGATTTCGATTGTGAAACTCTCGGTGAAACCGTGCCGGACGGCTCCTGTAGACCCTATTCTGAGCCGCCGCCTTTGCCGCGACCCTTGGAGCCCTTCATGCCCGTGGTGGCTTTCACGGCGAGGGAGTCGCACTTGTTCGTAAGGTCCGTCACCTCCGGGCTGCTGTGGAGCTCCTCCCAAGAGGCCCAGTCCCCGTGCCATTTGCGAACGACCTTGTCTGGGAAAATGTGCGCGGTCACTGCCAACTCCCCCCCAACCCAAACCGAGTAAGGGGCCTCGTCGCTCACGGAGACTGTGTATGGGATGTCCCACGCCTTCTTGAAGACGTGCTTCAGGCCAAAGCAGAAGTTCCGAGCTGCCCTCTCCATAATTGGGCGGTCCTGGTTTGCCCAGATGTTCCTGCCTCCGGACTTCAACCCTGCCTTCCTCAGGAAATCCACTGCCGCATCTCGCTGACCAGAGTTCTGGAACTCCGCGAACAATACCCCGCCGAAGTCCCCCTTCGAGTAGATCTTGGCTGGGGGTGGGCCCTGGAGCGAAGAAAGTTTGTCGTGAAGCCAGGCACTGGCCGCCTCCAGCGAGTCGAGCGAATCGAGATTGCCTACCACTGCTGTAATATTCCGCTTGTCTGTCACTCCCCCTCCTCCCGTGCCATGGCCGCCTGAATCCTTCTTGGGGGTCGTGTGAAACGAGCTGCCCTTCTCGGAGAGCTGCTTGACGAGGTTCTCGAGCTTCTCGATCTGGACTTCGGTGATGTCGATACGTTTCTCCACGTTGCTCAGGCGGACGTCCGCCGAGTCCGCGAGGGACGACATGCGCAGGTCGAGATTCCCGAAGCCTTTCTGGAGGTCCTGAATCGCCTTAGTCATGGGCGCCATCTCCTTCCGGAGGAGACCTGCGATACCCGCCATCGTAACCTGCCCCCTTCCCCGCTGCTGTCCTCCACCACTCCGTCGAAGTTCAACTGTTCGACTGGTCCTGGGATCAGCTCCTCCTCATCCTGGTCATCCTCCATCTTCTGGTAGCCATCCTTCGGGAGTAGAGGTGAAAGAGGGGAATCCGAGTACTTAGTGCGCGCCTTTTTCATGAACGGGTTGTTGAACAGCTTGCCCACGGGGGTACCCGGTGGTACCCGGTGCGCGAGCTGGCACGATCGCGGTAGCATCCGACGCCGTTCCGGGCTGCGGAGAAGACATGGCGAACTGCGAGAAGTGATAGGACTGGAAGAGAACGGTTCAAAAAATAGTTTTCCAGCCCGCGGCCGGTTTTTTCTAATCGTCATCCCGGGCACCGCCGCGTGAACACGACCCCCCGGCATTCATTAATCGTCATCCTCCATTACGGCCGGACAGGGCTTTGCAGGATCCTGCAAGATCCTGCAGGATCCTGCGAGGTCCTGCAACCAAGCCCGGGAGAGCGCACGCCTGGCGCCTCGAGATCCTGCGAGATCCGACGCTCTGGCTGACCCCCACTTGCATGGACCCCCGTCTCAAGGCCCCCGATCAAGAACATGCGACCCAGTCGGCCGAACTGAAGAGCATTGGAGGGTACCTTCCCCCAGGATGCACGAGAGCATCCAGCAAGCAGAAAGAACATTCGGGTACCCTCTCCGAACCGACCTCGATCTTGTACCTCGGTCCGACTGTAAATGAATACGGTCCCCCAGCCCGCGAGAACAGCCTCGTGAGACGAAAACTCGCGCCATGCGTACTTTCGCAACCAGCGTGGATCAATGTACGCGCACGTTCTTCCTTCGCTCCTGCTTCTAAGAAGAGGGAGGGGATTACAAGAGAAAGGGCGCAGGGGCCTTCCCAGATGGGCCTGGAGGCTTCTGAGAAGGCTTCTCAGAGAAGCCGGCCCTGACTCCGGATCCGCCCTACTTTGGGGAAATTCGTAAGTAGGGCTTGGAATTTCCGCCTTACTTTTCGAGCCCCGCTGATGCCAATTTCCGCCCTACTTTTCTGTTGCTGTTTCTGTGGATTTCCGACCTATTTTATGTTGGGTGCAGCAATTTCCGCCCTACTTTTTCGGCCTCTTCTGGGTGGATTTCCGACGCAATTTTAAGTTGGAAAAAAAAGCCAAAGTAGGGCGGATCTGGAGTCAGGGGAGCGAACCTCTGAGACGCCCGTTTGCCTTCTCGAGGAGCTCCGCCGCCTTCTCAGAAGCCCCCCCTCCCCCCCCGCGCCGCCCCCCTTCTGGGCGCCGCCGAGCTCCGACCGCTGCGCCGTGGCCCACTCCAGCAGGCCCTCCCCGAAGACCTGAAAGGGCCTCCCACCAACTGGGGCCGGAGCAGACGGAGGCCGGAGGACCGCGCCGCACCGGCGACGCGGCGGGGACGCGTCGGCGATGTCGCGGCGGTGCGTCGGCGACGTGGGCGATGCACATCGGCGACGTCGACGCGAAGCAGGTCGGGCCCCACACCGAGCCGCATCGGCGACGCGTCGGCGATGCGCCGCGATCCTCCGAGCCCATCCGCTCCGACCCCACCCGGGAGCCCCGGCAGACCGCGGGGTCCTGCTCCAGCTGCAGCAGGCTCCAGTCGGCCAAATCCTCGGACTCGATGCCGTCCACCGTGACCTCCGGGGCCCCACCGAGAGACGGCCGATGGGGAAGGGGCCTTGGGACACACAAATAAATACACACAAATATCAGGATTCCCCATATTTTCAAATATTTTCTGGGTTTCTGTCTTACCCCCCACTTCCCATAGTTTCCATATTTTCTGGGGAATCGAGGATTCATTGTGCCTGCGTGTTTCTTTTCCTCCTGAGATGGGCTCGGCGAGGGCGCCGAGAGAGGGGGGGTGGCGCGAGGGGGACGGCCTTCTGGGATAGGCAGGCGCGTTCCCCTGCTCGCATAGGAGCGACTCGCACAGGGCCTGGATCCGCCGAGGGGGATTACGATACAGTCGGGGCCTTGACCTAAGGAGCCCAAAATAAGGAACGAGGCCCCTTTTTTCCATAAGTTAAATTTCGCTTTCCGATCGAAAACATAAGGAAAACCTGAGGCAAGCTGCGAAACACTTAAGGAACGCGGAGCCCCTCCCCAACGAAAAGGGTTCCTTCTTCAGGGCCCCGACTGTACGCTGCATCGATGCAGACGTGTGCTCTTCGGACGTTTGCGAGGAGGCACTCCGCGAGTAATGCCACGCGCTCGGCGATGAGAGGGCGGAGTGGCTTCTCTAGGCCCCGGAAGCTGCTGAAAAAGCTCTCAGAGGCTTCTAGGAGAAGGCTTCGTAGAAGCCGCACGGCCCTTCTAAGAGGGCCCCGTTCCTTCTGAGAGGCGCCGCGCCGCCTTCCTCGCAGCCGGCCCCCCTCGCGCAAACCGCCCTGGTGGGCGCCGCCAAGACTGCAAGGCTGGGGGAGACAGCCTGTGCCTGGCCGACCTGGGTCGCAGGGCCCAAGATGAAGAGCGATGACGCGGTGCCGACTGTACGGGGTGCGGTCCCCAGGGGAGGGTGGCAGAGAGAAGGATCTCCTCTCCAGAGGCCCCCGCAGAGCTCCCTGAAGGTCCCTGGAGGTTCCTCGGAGGCCTCCAGGAGGCCCAAGACAACTAGATTGCAACCTATCTGGTGCAATCCACCGCCGTGACACTCATTTTTCTATGATCGATCAATCTCCCACCCGTCGCGAGATCCGTAAGATGACATACGCCTGCCGGTATTCGGGGGAGTAACTTCGGTGCCCATATGGCAGCTTTGACCGTATAATTCAATGCACGTGCTGCACCTTCGCGCTGAGCAGATTCCACTCCGCCCACTCCCCGCCGAATCGCAAGCATTGTGAGCCTGGACTGATGAACATTGTCGCCGCCGCATTGTGCGTGTGGTGCCAAGGCGACAGCCTATCAAGCCGTAGACGTAGGGCACCGGGGCGAATACCAGAAATCGGAGCAGACTGGGCAGGGCACCACCCATATGGCACCAAGGCGGCAGCCAGCAACCAAACATCGCAGCAGACTGGGGCACCAACCATTGCAGGCTACCGAGGCGGCAAGTAGAAACTGCCACAGACACTTCCAGTCCCTGGAGCGAGGTCCTTCCTGGAGCGACCCAGTCGGGCATGCGCAAACGCTGCTTCGGGGGAACATGTGAAACTCCTGCATCGCTCCCTGAGAGTTCGGCCACGTCAGGGGCGGTGGTGGTGGTGGTGGTGGTGGTGGAATAGATCGTTCTGGTGGCTTCAGGTTATAATTCGGGGTTCCGGCGGCCGGTCGGGACGACTCTGGCACCCTCAGAACGGTCTCGGCGAGGCGCAGCCGCTGAAGGTAGCCCGAGGCTGGAAAGCCACCGAGAACCAACGAGAGCACCCGAAAACCTCAAGCTTCGGACCGAGACTGGGCCGCCGATTCCAGCTCGAAGTCCACCCCCCCACACGAGCTGGCCACGACCTCCAGGCTGTCGCCGACGCTCACCGTGACGCCGCGGTCTAGGTGGGCGAAGAGGCCCCCTGGGTACCTTGGGGCTGCGAGCCTGAGCTTAGGTCGAGCATGTCCTCCCGCAGGCGGATTTTGCCAGAAAAATGAAAGGTAGTCAAAACATGCTCGAACATGAACACAGATCGTCGAAACATCGTCCCCAGACTATTCTTGGGCTATGTTTGAACATTCCTTCGGGAGCGGCCAAGAGAGGGGTGTCCAACAGGGGTGTGTGCAAATCATGACCGGCGACATGTGCGCGGCCCAGCGGGGGGGCCAGGGACGTAATGAAACAAGAAGAGGCGCCATGAGATCTGGGGAGATATCGTGGCCCCCGCCATGATCTCCCCCCCCCTAGTCATCACCCCCCTCTTTTCCGCCCCCGATGACTCCTGCAGAGGGACAGGCCCGACTTAAAGCTCGAGCCCGCTCGGCGCCTGGCGGCCCCCCGCGGCCGCCCGAGCGCATCTTGGCATCGAGCCCGCCGACCGTGCCATGGTTCCGGCCGCGTGGGCCTCGACGCCCATGGCGGGCTCACAGGCCCAGAGATCCGACGCTCTTCAAGGGGCCCAAGGACACACAACTAAATACACACAAATGAACATATTCCCCATCTTTTCCTGTATTTTCGGGGTTTTTGTCTTCCCCCCCCCACTTCCCATATTTTCCCATATCTTCCTGGGGATCGACGTTTCATTGTGTCTGTGAGTTTTTCTCCTTCCTGAGCTCTGACAGACATCGGGGCGGGCGGCATCCGGCCGCTTTCGGCCTCCGGGGGCCCTCGCCGGGCCTCGGGACCACCGTAAAACTGAAGGGGCCCTGGGACACACACAAATAAATACACACAAATAAAAATATTCCCCATAGTTTCCTGTGTTTTCTGGGCTTTTGTCTTCCCCCTCACTTCCCATATTTTCCTATATTTTCTGGGGCATCGCCGATAAATTGTGTCTGTGTGTTTCTTTCCCTCCTGAGAAACGACCCGGGGCGAAATGGACCTCCAGCGGCCCACGCGTCGAACACACTGGAGCGGCTGGATGTCTGGGATGGGGTCGGAGGAGTGCACCGCACCGCCGATGTATCGGTGATGCACCGGGCGACGTCGGCGATGGATCGGCGACGTCGGCGTGAAACAAATCCAGGCTCCACATCGAGCGGCGCGATCCTCCGACCCCATGTATACTCGGACCCATCTGGGAGGCCTCGAGCTCAGAAGGGACCCGCCCCACACATCCGACCGTGTGATCGTTTCAACGCGCGGCCCCAGCAGTCCCAACCCCGTCCCCTCGGGCAAGTTTCCCACCCCGAAGTTATTTCTGATGGTCCCAGGGCCTAAGAACAGTCAACAAAGGCCGAAATGAAGGAACAACAGCCACGCGTTCCAAAATATCACACCGTCAAAGATCTGACCCGCAGGGCGCTCCGAGAACGCGGCGGCGCGCAGGGAAGCGCGCACCTGCTCCGCGGCCGCGGGCTCCACCGGCACCTCGGCACGCCCGACTGGGGTGCAGACGAGAACGGGCACGGCACCCAACACCACGAATGTTGCCCTAAGCCGACAACGGCTGCTGCTGGGCACGCGGCTCTCTGCCCCGGACGGACCACATCCGGCACGACACCGACCCCGCCATCCGGCTGCTCCACTTCTTCCGATGCGTGGGCCCCCGAGGTCCGGGACCACTTCCCGCTGCAGGGCCCGTTCTTCGTCCCAGGTCGTTTCATTCGGGGGCGGCCAAGAGGGGGGCGTCCAAGAGGGGGGGCGCAGATCATGGCCGGCGGCACGTGCGCGGCCCAGGTGGGGGGGGCCAGGGACGTAATGAAGTACGAAGAGGCGCCATGAGATCTGGGGAAAAATCATGGCCCACGCCATGATATCCCCCCCCCTAATCATCACCCCCCTCTTGGTCGCCCCCGATTCTTGACGGTCCCGAGGCCTGGCGAGGGCCCCCGGAGGCGGAAAACGGCCAAACGCCGCCCGCTCCAATCTTTTGTTGGAGCGTCGTGTGTCTCTGGGGGCAGCGGGCCCCGTCCAAAGAGTGGACAAGAGCTGCTGCTGGCCTCCGCCTTCCGCTCTGTTTGTATCGCACCCGCCTTTTTCGGCGGCGAGCCCCAGGGGGGAAGCGAGCAGGGGCTTGCCTTCGCAGAAGGCTCAGACGTCCCCTGGCCTTCTGAGAAGTTTTCGGGCGCCGCTGATTTAGTACGGCCCGTCCTGTGATCGCGCTCTTCCAAGATGATGGCCCCAGAGGCTCCAAAACGGTGCCCCAAGACGGCCCCAAGAGGTGCCCAGCAGGCCCCAAGCCTTCGGAAAAGTTTTCTAAGCCTTCCTCGGAGGCACACGAAACTTCTCAGGAGGCCGGCGGGCTTCTGATAAGCCCCGCCGCCTTGTGAGAGGGCCTTCACCTGCTCGCTTCTCCCCCTCGCTCGCCGCCGAACCTGGGTCCATCAGAGGTCCCGAACGTGTCACGGCGGCGGCCCCTGCAGGCTGGTGTATAGCGTGTCGCCCTCGAGGGACAAACCATCTGCTTTGGACGTGGGGTGGCTAGAGGCCTCCTAGATGGGGTCGGAGCAGATGGGGTCGGAGGATCGCGCCGCATCGGTGATGCACTGGCGATGCCTCGTCGGCGTCGGCGATGCAGAGGCGACGTCGACGTGAACCAGATCGGGCCCCACTTCGAGCCGCATCGGCACATCGGCGATGCAGCGCGATCCTCCGACCCCATCCGCTCGGACCCCACCTGTTCCTGGCGTGGGGTGGCGTCCAGCGCCAGCTCCCGGGGCGGTGGCAATCCCCGAACCAGGGGAGGAACCAACAGCTGCACAAGCATGCACTGCCTTGGAGGTCCGCGCCGACTTCCGAGATGGGCGCCTCGACCCTCTCCCTGGCGCGCCGAGGGCGCCAGGGTCGACGTCGCCGGGGAGGCCCCGGCGCCGATGCGAGACATCCGCGCGGACCTCCGAGGAATTGAAGGGGCCCCAGGACACACAAATAAATACACACAAATAAAAAGATTCCCCATATTCTCCCATGTTTTCTGGGTTTTTGTCTTCCCCACCATTTCCCATATTTTCCTATATTTTCCAGGGGGTCGACGATTAATTGTGTCTGTGTGTTTCTTTCCCTCCTGAGGAATGATGCTTCCTCTCTTTGTGCCGCTTTTGGTTCTTCGAGTCCCGCTCCGCTTGCTGGGCCGGGCAGGGTCTGCTGCCGGCCCCGCGCCTCCGCGCTCTCCTCGGCTTCACGCAGGAGGTCTCGCCATCGCTCGGGCGTCCGTTCCCTGGGAATTCTTCGACTCCGTGCGCGCACCCTTCGCAAGATGGTCCAAGATGCTCCTCTCGCCGAAGAAAAAGGCTCACGTCCGAGCGCTGCCGACGAGTGGCCCTGGGCACGAGTGACCCTGAACGCGCAGCCTGCGAGGGGGCGTCAACACCCATACACGCAGGCCGCTGCTATCGCACAGCATTGGGCGCCCGAGTTATCCGGGGTAACTCGGGCCCGGGGTAACTCGGGTTTGGAGTCCCGAAAAACGAACCCGAGTTAGCCCTGACCCGAATTATCCCTGATGATTTGGGGCTCTGGACGCCCGAATTATCCGGGGTAACTCGGGCCCGGGGCAACTCGGGTTCGGATTCCCGAAAAACGAACCCGAGTTAGCCCTGACCCGAGTTACCCCTGATGATTCGGGTCTCTGACAGCATGCAGGGACCACGGGGACAGCTCGGCGGTAGACAGAGCTCCTTTTCATCAAAGCGCCCTTTCGAGACTGTCGCCATAGGGCACTCCACGTGAGTACCAGCACCGCATTCCGAGAGTGCACCCCGGCGGCGTCGTTAGTCGAAGTCCAAGAGCACACGAGTGCATCTGGCGAGACGAGCGTCGACTAGCGAAACCGACTGCGGACTGCACCAATACAGTCGGGGCCCTGAAGAAGGAATCCTTTTCGTTGGGGAGGGGCTCCGCGTTCCTTAAGTGTTTCACAGCTTGCCTCAGATTTCCCTTATGTTTCCGATAGGAAACCGAAGTTTAACTTATGGTAAAAAGAGGCCTCGTTCCTTATTTAGGGTTCCTTAGGCCAACGCCCCTACTGTACACTCGAATGCCAACGTCGAGTGAATCCGTGCAAATTTCCTCGGTCGACTTGTCTGGGGGGCGTTCTGTCAATGCCCGACCAATGGGCCCGCACCAACGGTCACTCCGGCGAAGGGTCACTCTTGCGCACGATCGAAGGTCACCCAACGCCTCAACCCATGCCCCAGAACTGGCTTTTCCAAAGGCCGAAAATAGCGGATAACCTCGCGCCGTGATTTGTTCATTGGGCACTCTTGAAAGCGTCTGACCCTGACCTTCTCGAATGCTTCTTCTATCGTAAGGGGGGGTCCTTAGCCCAGGGTCGGCGGCACCAGCCGGCAGGCCTCAGCAATAGCAGAAAGCCTGCCGCCGTGATCTGCTCATGACTCGAGGGGGGTCTCGGCCTCACGCACGGTCGAGCTGTCGCCCCGCTCCTCGGCCACACGCAAGACGGTCCCTGGGTAGTTATAAGAGTGACCTTTGATGCGCGGCAGTGTTCGGAGGCACGGGGGAGCCAAACTCGGGCGCGCAAGATGCCACTGTAGCATCGTGCTCGACGATCGGGGGACCCCAAGGGGCCCGCACCACAACGGTCCCTCGAAGGGTCCCTCTCACGTGCAGTCGATCTCCGTGCCCAGTTCGTGAGCAGGGGACGACCGTCCTGGCATTCCTTCAGGCTTGCCACGACATGTTCGTAGAACCAAGACGTGCCCTCAGAACACAAAATTCACGTTCTCAGAGCATCCACCCGATGCGTGAAAACACGGCACACCCTCAGCCAGACATGTGCTGAGAACATCTCGTGCAAGCCACAAGAGGTTCTCAGAACATTCTTGGGTGGGCCTATAGGCATCGGGGGCGGCCAAGAGGGGGGTGTCCAAGAGGGGTGTGTGCAAATCATGGCTGGCGGCATGTGCGCGGCCTAGGGGGGGGGCCAGGGAACGCATTGAAATAAGAAGAGGCGCCATGAAATCTGGGGAAACCTCATGGCCACCGCCATGATTCCCCCCCCCCTAGTCATCACCCCCCTCTTTGACTCCCTACCAAACCACCCCAACCCAACCCGAAGAGCCGAATTTCGGGTTGGGGGGGAGGGGACGGGCTTCATGTGTGTTTTCTCAACGCTCCCCGACCCCCCCCAACTGGAAATGGAGGGCAAATTGGGGCCTTCGGGTTGGGTTGGGGTGGTTTGGTGGACGGTGACTCTCTGCCGCCCCCGAAAGCAAGCCAAGACGCCTCGCCACCGCGTGCCTTTCCACCCCGCCGGAGCACCCGGCGCGCGGCCTGCTCGGCGGCGCCGCCCGGCCTCTCCTCCGGGGGCTCCGCCGCGCCCTCGGCGGCGGCGGGGCCGCGGCCCGCGGCCTCGAAGGCCCGCAGGGCGTCCTGTCTCCGCGGGCGGGGCTTCGCGCTGCTGCTTCGGGGGGGGGGGGCGCCGCAGGGAGGCACGAACGCCTCGGCACGAGCTCGAAGCTTCCCGACCGTTCTCCTCTCGCGCTGCCCGGCGCAGAACACCCGGGCTGGTCGCGCGCGCGCGCGCGACGCGCGCGGCCCACCTCCGAGGAGGGTGCCCAGCGTGCCTGCGTGCATTCACATGCCGTCGGCCCATACACAGCCTCGGGCCGGAGCCCGAGAGCAGCAGCGGCTCACGTAGCCCATAGGCCGCCACGGCTGCATGGGGCTCTCTGACGCTGAGGTCGCTCGTTCTGCGCCGCCGGCGGCAGAAACCGACCCAGCCCAACGGCTGCATGGCGCTGCACGGGCGCCAGCGCCACACCCGCTTGCCCGCCGGCCCAACGAAGCGATGGGCTCCCGACCGTCCTGCAGATTCCATGCAGGTTCCTCCCGCCCTCCACTTTTCCCGTCTTCTTCCCCTCGCGCTCCTGGAGGAGCAGCGCGTTCAGCTGTGCTTGTTTGCGTGTTTCCCTCCTGAGCTGTTGCTGCGTGTTCGAGGCGCCTGTCGGTGGCGACATCCGAACCTTACCCCCGCCAATCATCGATTCTCATGAATCGATGTGCGGGGGCAGGTCGCAGGCCTAGAGATTGACACCAACACCAATATCGGCGGTGTGCAGCCACCGAGGGAGGAAGATCCCGATCTCGGTGATGGTGGTAATATTCGGACTTCCAAGGTGGCCGAAATATTGCCACCAACACCGAAATCGAGGATCGTCTTCCCCCTGTGGAGGCAACCCCTTGTGTTGGTGTTGGTGCCCATTTCTAGGCCTCCAAGCAGGGTTCGCATTTCACCACGTGTTCGAGAAGTTCCGAACCCTACCCTCGCCGCCAATCGCCTTGCCCGAATCGTGGAATCGGCGAGGGCAGGGCTCGGCTTTCGCCGCCGAGCTCTGAGTCCGCTCCAGCGTCCCGCTCCCCTGGCCATCGCTCGGACGTCCATTCCCTGTGTTTTTTTCGGTTTCGTGCGTGTTTGTTTTCGCCAACTGATCAAGGATGCTCCTCGATGGTCCTCGCCGAGGAAAAAACGCACACGTCCGAGCGATGCCAAGTCCCCACTCCGCGTCGAATCCGCGTCGAATCTGCTCCGAATGCACGTCAAATCCGCATCGGATCCACGTCGAACCCGCGTCGGCCACAGGAGACAAAGAGCAATCTTGAGTACAGACGGAATCGCCCGAAAATGCATCGCAACTTTGGGGCTGGGTGCGCGCAAGCAGCCCGCCCAGAAGCTGCCCTGGCTGGCCGCAGCTCGGGGTGCTGACAAGAGCATCCCTGGCCAAAGGTACCCCCCAAGCTTTCCTGGCCATTCTGGGGCCTCCTGGGGCCGTCTGGGCATCGGGAACGGCGCTGGCGCCGGCGCCCAATCCTGGCAGCCAGGACGAGGAGCCTTGAGGAATCCTCCCCCTCTCCTCCTCCTCCTCCTCCTCCTCCTCGTCCTCCTCCTCCTCCTCCTCCTTCTCCTCGTCCTCCTCCTCCTCCTCCTCCTCCTCCTCCTCCTCCTCCTCCTCATCCTTCTCCCTCCTCCTCCTCCTCCTCCTCCCTCCTCCTCCTCCTCCTCCTCCTGCCAGGGGGTGTCGACCCACCCGGATCATCAGTACCCGCAGTACCCTCATTACCCTCAGTACCCTCAGTACCCTCCTCCCCTCCTTCTCCTCCTCCTCCTCCTCCTCCTCCTCCTCCTCCTCCTCCTCCTCCTCCTCTTCCTCCTCCTCCTTCTAGAGGCCGCCCGGGCATCCCTGGAAGTCAGGGGCCACCTTGGGCCAGAGGCGACCTCTGGCAGCGTTCGATGATCAGGCACCCAATCGACGTTGGGGCGGGCAGGCCCGTACCTGCCCAGCTCTGCCTTCAAACAATGACCTGGTCGGGCTTCCACGGCTCGGGGCCAATCGCCGGGGGCTTGAGAATCCGGTCTTGTGGCGCGGGCCTCGGGACTCTCTTGACGGTCCCCCGGCCAGGATGCTGCCTCCAGAGGCAGGGGGCAGAAGCCCTGCCGATGCGACTTGCTCTGCACCGCCCAGATCCGAAGGAACGAACACAACTGCGGTCGAATGCCGCACGCTGCGGGCGCGTCTCGGCAAGGCTCAGCGCGCGATCCACTCGCGAGCGGCGAGGCCCCCCCAAGGGAGCGAGAGCGCACGGCGGCGGGCTGCACCTCGCAGCCCCCGCACCGTCGCGCTGCCAGCGGGGGGCCCCCTGTCCCGCGGGCCGGCGGCCGTCTGCGCCGCCGCGCAGGCCATCCCTGTGGCCGCGCGCTCCTCCGCAGCCTCGTCGGAGGGGCTGTTCAGCTCGTCCATGCGCGCCAGCACGAACGCAGCCAAGTCGTCGCCGCCGCAGACTGCGCGGGCGACCTCGTGGCGCAAGCGCTTCGTCTCCCAGTCGTGGAGCGACCTGCAGCCCGCGCAGATCCCCTGGGCCACCATCGCGGTTGTCTTCTCCAGCGCGTTGGTCGTGGCCGCCGCGCCTGCCGGCTGGGGGGATGCCGCCTGCGCTCGCGCCTTTGCCGATCGCCTGCTGCACCAAGGCCCTCCTCACGGGGCCGTCGTCGTCCTCGTCCTGCATGTTGGTCGCGTCGGTGTCAGCCTTGCTCGCCGCGGCCGCAACCGTGCGGCTGGGGTGCAGATGGCCATGCAGCCTGCCCTCCTCCTGCGTTGCGACGGTGTCCGCCTTGCTCGCCGCGGTCGCAGGCAGCTCTCCGGTCGCTATACCTTAGCAGTCCTGGCAGTCCGCCTCCTTTATTACAGCCTGCTCGCTCTCGTCGTTCATACTAGCGGCTGCCGCAACTACGTCCGCGCTGCTGGACCCCGCCCCCGGGCTCGCCGGCATCGCCTCTCACCTCTCACGCCGAAATCACTGGCAGCTCCGTGGCCACCGTCTCGTGGCCGTCGTCGTAAGATTCGTCGCAGCCCGCCCTGCACGCGAATTGCCGGGGTCTGAGCAGCCGCGGCCCTGTCCCGCCACCCACTACAAGGGGGGGTCCTGGCCCCGCGCGCCCGCGGCACTCCTGGGCCACCCCCGCTCGAGGAGGGTCCACGTCGAGGCGGCTCCCAACCTCGCACCCCTCCGAACTGCTTGGCGGACGTCCACTGCTTAATTATGTTGTCTTGTCCGCTCGGCGCCTCTGAGACTTGGGCCCCGCTTCGCCGAACAGTTTAAGACGCTCTCCAGGGTCTGGCGACAGCCTCGGTGGAGCCACGACGTACCCTGTCCCACGGCCCTGACCTCGGTCCTCGCCGCCGCCTCCAAGCAACACGTCCAGGCGGTCACCGCGGGCCACTCGACTCCCTGAGGTCCTAGTCTGCCGTCTTCTGCTCCTCGTCGCCCTCGGCAGCCGTCTGCTTGGCTGCCTGCCCCACGGTCTTGTCAGCCAGCTTGCCTGCTCCGTCTGCGTCTGTGCCTCCGCCTTGTGCGGTGCGCTGCTGGCTGACCACCACGCCTCCGCGGTAGCCCTCCGTCCCCAGCGCACTCCGAGCGTGCGTGCCCCTGAGCAGGTCGAGGACCTCCTGCCCGGGCCGCGCTCCGTCGGCTGCACTGAGGCCGCACGTCTCGGCCGCGTCGTGGGCGGCACCTGGCGCCGCTGCACCCCCCGACCAGCAGGGGCGCAAGAAGCCGAGCAGCGGCGCCGCCCAGCCGCCGCAGCGACTCGGCCAGCACGCGCAGCCACACGCCACGCACCACCTGCCGTCCATATACAGTCGAGGCGTTGACCTGAGGAACCCTAAATACGGAACGAGGCCCCTTTTCTCCAGAAGTTAAACTTCGACTTCTCATCGAAAACCTAGGGAAAACTTGAGGAGAACTGTGAAACAAGCAAGGAACACCGAGCCCCTCCCCAACGAAAAGGGTTCCTTCTTCAGCGCCCCGACTGTACCTGCGATGCTTCGCAGCTTCGGCTGAGGCCCGCCTCGAGCACGGGACGCGGTCACGACGCCGCCCCGCAGCAACGCCAGCACACGCCGGCGTGATGCTCGCCCCGCGCGCGCGTGCTCGAGCCGTAAGCTTGATAGGGAGCAAGAGGAAGAGGAGGAGGAGGAGGAGGAGGAGGAGGAGGAGGAGGAGGCGGTGGAGGAGGAGGAGGAGGAGGAGGAGGAGGAGGAGAAGGAGGAGGAGGAGGAGGAGGAGGAGGAGGAGACGGAAGACAAGACGGAAGAGGAGGGGGGACGATGACGAAACAGTAGGAGAAAGAGGAAGGAGGATGTGCGATCAGGCAGATTGAAAGGATGTCTCGAGCGAGGCGCTTGTTTCAGCACTCCAAGGGGGAGCCGCCAGAGGATTTTTTCTCTGAGACGCCTCCACCTCACCTCCCCCTGCTCCCCCTCATGAACACACGCACACACACTGGGACAAACTAACATTCATATTCACCCACATTCATACTCATTCGTACTCAGACTCGCTCACACTCGGATTCACACTCAGGCTCGCACATGCTCAGACTCACACTCAGACTGAGTCACGCTCAGACCCATCATGTCGATATTCGCTCAAATTCGCACCTCATTCGCACTCAGACTCACTCAGACTCAGACCAGCTCACACTCAGACCTACTCACACTCAGACCTACTCACACTCAGACTTGCTCACACTCAGACCCACTCAAACTCAGGCTCACTCGCACTCAGATTCGCTCACACTCAGACTCACTCGCACTCAAATTTGCGACTCACTCGCACTTGGGATTGCAGACTGCCGGGGTGTCTCGAGAGAGCGACTCGCTCTTACACAGACGCTCATTGACATGTACCCACAAAACATGTACCAAGAAACACATGTGCACATATGGGGATCTCCTCGTCGAATCCTTCCCAAAATCTGCTTCAGCAAAAGGGAGCCCTTACCTAGTCCTAAATCTTGTTTTGTCAGAAACCTCCGCCGGCCTTGCTGATGCGGAGGCTTTCAAATTCGGGGCCGACGTTGGGGCCATCGATGCTCCCTGGGCACTGCGAGGGGCCCCCCGAGGCCGAAACCCGCGAACAAAAAGCGCTCGGCCGCGACCTCTCCCCGCCGCAGCGCGGGGAGGAGGCGTGCGTGGGCCGACCGCGGTCCTCCACCACCTCGCACCAGCCGTAGACGCAGCCCTCCCCCGGCGAGAACTGCTGCAGGAGCTGGGCCTCCAGCTCCCTGGCGGCGCCCGGCGGCAGGCTGTCGAAGGAGGCCGAGCCCACCTCGGGCGCGGGGGCGCTGTGCGGGTAGTCCGCCGGCAGGGAGACGCGCAGCCACGCGGCGCCGGCCGCCAGCGACACCCTCCACTCGCTCTCCCCGAGCGCCACGAAGTCCTCCCCGTAGATGGCCTCTGGAGGGTCCCTCCTCCTCCTCCTCTTCCTCCTCCTACTCCTCCTCTTCCTCCTCCTCTCTCCTCCTCTTCCTCTCTCACGCTCCGTCGGCCTCCTACCTCCCTCCCTCCCTTCCTCCCTCCCCGGTCCTCCTGCTGCCTCTCCTCCCCGTCCCTCCTCTCCCTCCTTTTTCCTCCTCGTTCTACCCGCTTCCCCTGACCTGGCCCGTCCTCCTTCCCCGCCTCCTATTCCAAAAGTGGCTCCTCCATCCCCCCCCCTCCCCGTCCTCCCCTCGTCGTCGTCATCGTCGTCGCCCTCCTTCCTTCCTCTTCCTGCTTGTCCTCCTCGTTATCCCCTTTCCTTCCTCCATCCCTCTCCCTCATAGGCAGGTCGTTGGGGCCTGAGGCTCTTTATTATTTACGGTTTTGAAGATTGGAGCTACCGACAGTTGCACAGGTGGGGCTCTCGCCATGGCGTCACGCACACTCGTCTCAAGTTTTCCCAGTAGCTACAAAGTACACGGACGGAGGGCGAATGGTTATCAAAATGGGGATTTCGCCTTGGTGCCGCGCGCACTCGTCCTGAACACATGCGAGCATTAGACGGATGGAGGGTGGTTCATGTTCAAATCGGGGTCCTCGCCTGAGACTTCCTCAAAAACTATGACCACACACATATGCGATTGTACAACAGCGACGCGGGTGGAGGCCGGCTTCTGTTCAAAATGGGGCTGTCGCTTTAGCCTTCGTTGGATTTGATGCTCAGCAACCCCAAGCAGTGCAACGGTTGCACGGATGTATGGCGGCTCCTTTTAAACCGGGGTTGTCGCTGCGCACTTCCTTGAGCTTTATGACCCCGACGTCCAATTCCGCCTAATTCGAATGATTAAGGACAGCTTCTAAAAAAAGGGCGCTCTGGCCTGAATTGCGGGCCCTGGGGGCGCCCGATTCAAAACGACACTCTGCGCAATAAAACATATTTCTTGTGTGGACTAGTGAGGACGGACTTGAGACGGGAGGATGTGTTGCAGCATCGCTGGTATCTCCTGGGTTTGTCCTGGTCCTCCTCCTCATACTTTTCCTCCTCCCTCTCCCTCCTCCCTCCTTCCTTCTGCCCTCCCTGCGCCCCCCCCCGCCCCCCTCACTGATTCTCCCTCCTCCTCCTCCTCCTCCTCCTCCTCCTCCTCCTCCTCCTCCTCCTCCTCCTCCTCCTCCTCCTCCCGCTTCTCTCCCTCCCCCTCCCCCTCCGCCCTCCCCGTCCCCCCTCCTCCCTGCGACTGCGACATAAGGTCAAGCCGAGAAGACCCCTGAAGCAAGCTAAAGCGGGCACAGCTCAAACCCGACCAGGCGAGAGAAAGAGAGAGAGATAGAGAGGCAGAAAGAGAGAGAGAGAGAGAGACAGAAAGATAGAGAGAGGGGGGAGAGAAAGAAAGAGAGAGAGAGATGCCCGAAATGCCTCTTGGGTACCTGAGCGAGTCTTTGCGGTCGGCCACTGGCCATCCTGGGGATGGGAAGGCCAAGGTCCTCTGACTTGCGTGAGCGTTTTCTTATTCGGCGTTTCGACGTTGGGCGAAAGCGGAGGGGCGGACGGGGGGGGGGGGCGTCTGGCTCCAGACCTCTGCTTCATGCGAGTGTTTCAAGCAGTGCGTCCCATGGGGGGAGACCCCGCCTGCTTGAAACAGGCACCCAAAACAGCCAAGATCGAATCATGGGGGGAGGGGGAGTGTGGGGGGGGCGAGGGCCCGCGCCGATCGGCAAAACGATGAATAAGAACACGATCACCTCCTCCGCCTCCCCCGTGTTTAGTCCACCCCCACCCTCCGGTGGGAACAGTCGGCACGAAAACCTCCTCCTCCAACACCCAGGCCTGGCGAAACCAGACCTGGCCAACCTTGCGCGGCAAGCATCTAGCATTGACCATGCTCCTCTCTGCGGTACATACAGGAAGGCCGACCCTACACAGCGGCGATTACAAGACCAACTATCATAACATGTAAGCTATGAGGACCCTTGGCTGCGCTATTCGAGCTACCTGCCTACCTGCCTGGGACTGGCTTCCCAAGTCTTTGGGGAAGGGTTCAGGCTGGAGGCCCCACGGTGTTGCGGCAGAAGCTGCGCCTCGCATCAGTCTGCGTGGGCCCAGGGATCTGTTTCTGGTCTGTTCGTGGCAGGCAGCAAGCGCCCGTCACGCAGCAAGCAGTCGTAGCGGAGTTCTTTGAAATCAGCGGTGCCGCGGGCCCCAGCTGCAGAAACGCGGAACTTACTCTGGCCATCGCTCGGACGTCCATTCCCTGTGTTTTTTCCGGTTTCGTGCGTGGTTTTCGCCAAATGATCAACGATGCTCCTCGATGGCCCTCGCCGAGAAAAAATGCGCATGCCCGAGCGATGCCCGGTACGATTCCATCTCCTCCTGGCCCGCCCTCCTCGATAACTCCCCCTCGCACCGGCCCTCTGGTCTCGGGTGCTGGGTGGTGCAGCAGCGTTCAAGGAGGGGGAAGGGGTGCTGGGCTGTGCAGACAGGGGGCGAGACGAGACGAGACGCGCGAGTCCGCC